CTGAATGTAAAATTTAACACCGCATACACCATCCTAACCCTCGCCAAAGAAGAGCTTAACTTTAGGTTGTTTACAAAAGAAATCTGTCAGTGTTCTTTTCATTTTCTCTCTCTCTTCTTCAGCCCATTCTTTTTCTCGCCGTTGTAAGTGGAAAGCAGTGACTGAGTGATTGACAGCTAATATTAACCAATCTAAAATCTGCATTAAAGTTAACAATGTAAGGAAAAAATCTGTTAATATATAATGTGTAGTTGTGATGCTCATACATTTTTGGTGAGTGCTCCAAAATTTCTGCTGGTGCTCCTAACTTTTTGAAGTTGGGAGTACCAGTGCTACAAAGTAAAAAAGTAAATTTCGAGCCCTGTGCGCATTTTGATAGTAATGCTGGTTCTGTAATCAGCAGGAAATCATCATCACGTGCTTTCAGATGGAGCAGAATTGACTACACATAGCCGTAGGTCACTGACAAGTTACGCAAAAAAACAAAAAAAAAACAAAACAAATCGCAGAGGATTTTATTGCGCGATTCTGAAATCGAAGAAATCGTTCGCGATAATGACAGCTGTTTGCATAGCTTCTCAGTGAACTACGGCTCTGTGAAGTAAATGCTGCTCCATCTGAAAGCATGTGAAAATACCACATTTAATAACATATTTTTACTCCAAACTCACTTCATAACGTCAGTCGAGTGTTTGAAATAAATCCGTCTGTGAGATGATGTGGCTTCTTAAACAGAATAAGGCATGCAACATATTTCATAGTATTTAAGCAGTGATAAAGGCATATTTTAATGAAAATTATAATACCAAGAACTCAGATAAACCGTATATTGCCGTAGTCGTGTGTTTATTAGTCACCTTGAATCAATGAAAGCAGTTGAATCTTCTGTTTATTCAGCTGCAACGATAGGCATTTTCTGGGTTTCTTCTGCTAGAGGTATTTGGAGTTTCAGCACAAGATCGCCCTCTGGCCTTTGGATGGAGATTTACTGCTGACCACAGAACCGTGCTTCACTGAAAGATACGCATGACAATCGCAGCTTCTGTCGAATCGCGATCTCGATTCCATTTCGATTTATCGTGCAGCACTAGTGTGTCCCCAGCTAAAGGGGAGCTTTCAATGAATAAGCCAAATTCTACATGCCCAAGAAAATTCCAAGCACTGTACTTTTACCCAAGACATGTGTTCGAGCGGACAAGACATTTGTTTCCACTCAAAAGTTGAAACTGAAAACTGTTCATACTGTTGGTTCAGCAGACTGAGGTGCGGAGTGGAACAGCGCCTTCATTTACTGTCACTGACTAGAAACATACTTTAGTTTATCTTTCTGCTTTCATCAAAGTCTTGATATTTACATTCATATAATGACTTTAATCCGCTAAAATTGCCCCAGAAGTTATAAAAATACCTCTGTAAAAGTCCGACAAGATTGCACAACAATATATTCTGCAGAACAATTAAGATCATGCACTTTTCTTTCAATTGCATTCCTTACAGATTAAAGTGGAATCTTGCGTGGGAACTACTAGTATAGCTATTGAATTTTGCCCCTTCACATGGCTTAAGTTAATTACGGTAGAATAAAAGCCGTAGTTAGTTGTAGTCATGTACTAAACGACCACCTGAAGGCGACACCTCCCCCGATGTGTCTGTAATACGTATGTTTGTTACCAACATTGAAACAGCGCGCATTGTTTGCCAATGACAGAAGACCAGCTACGAGCCAACTATCACCTGACACAAACCAGTGACCAGAAACCCGAACACTGAAGTCACTAAGTTTATAGCTTGCGATCATTTCAGTACGTTGAACGACAAAATAATGAAATCATGAATAATAAAGACCGTTTGTTTCAATAAAGATTCCCCTCCAAAGGCCACTGTCTATGAGCGCAGCAGACTAACCCCAAACCACTTTCCCCTTACTCAGCATGATTCAGCTAACATTCATGTTGTTCGGCTCAACTACACTGAGTGCAAAATATTATTATGCGCAAAGTGGGGCTGTCGCTCTGCTCCACATCCAGCCGAAGTTACCAAATGATTCGTGACAAGCGCTTTCCTTACATTGCGCAATAAGCCTCCTTTTCATGTTATGAAACGCACGATTTAGGCTTATTCAATTAGCACAATAAATATTATTGTAGCTTAAAGTACCATTCTGACGCAGTACAAATGTAAACAGATGACCGCTCATACAGTCTTGTTGGCTGGCAAACTCGGACACCATTTTACGCCACAGAGTGAAACGCTAGTCCCGGTTTATCACTTCCTCGAAAACTACAGGCAACGTAAATATTTTTACTTCACAACAAAGGTCCATACGTGTGCTTCGTGCAATAAATTCAAAAGCATACATGTCTAAATGGGAAAATGGGCGTTATTTATCCAAACAGTACGAGGTAGCGTTAAGCTATGCTAGTTGCACCGTTGTAGCTAAACCGGGGAGGAGGCGCGGCTGATTTGCCTGGCTACAGGCATTTGTAATAATACTTGACAAGACGGCCTAAAACGTTAGCTTTCGATTCAAATCAGACCTGGGGAGCATTACTAATATATATAACGCGCAACACATCGAAATGTAGCTTAATACGATAAAATAATCTTACCTGCTGTAACCCTACGCAGTGTGCTAAATAGCAGCAGGAGAAGCGATGACTTCTCTCCCCGCCGCTGCCGTTACGAGCTCGAGCTCTGAAGGTCCGCCGCAATAGCGTCACAGATATCAGGCGCGGGGTAAAGTATGTTACGTCCTTATCTCGGGTTAGGACGCAGCTGACGACATTTTGGATCAAGGTGGGCCTGTATCACAAGACTCTAAACATCATACGACTGTTCGTGTTGAGCCAACATGGCTGACAGGGTAGGACTTTAAAGGCGATTTCCGACTCCATTTTACTTATCTCCAGGCAACAAGACAGATTACAAATGTGTCGCCATGGCTGATATCCCTCCGCGAGCGCTTGCATCAGAACGACCTAGTTCTTGGCCGTCTTGTCTAATTAGAGTTAAATATACAGTCAGTCGAGATGTTCTGCGCTGCAGTGCAGTGTGTAAACGACCGCTTCTCTTTGGACATACTTTGAAAGGAACATAATTAGATTGTTTAATTGAATTTTTGAATTGAACGCCTTTATTGTCATTGTATTTTTCTGCATACAACGAAATTAGGAGCACTGCTCCTGACTGGTGTTATAAAAACAAACATATAACCACAGACAATAAATAAGACTATACAGTACAATTTTACAAGTAAATACAACAAGTGACCGAGTCGTTTGTTTATGACATACAGCAAATATTGCTAGATTTTGGGTCATTTTTTCAGTTGTTAACATAAAAGAATTTTAAAAACACAATTCTGATGTTGGTATTAGATTAAGGAGTACTTGCGTTAAAGTGAATAACATTTACAGTCAAACTTTACGTCTGTTTTACATAACAAGGTGTTCGCAATTATCACCATTTGAAATATTGCTGATTGTTACTTTACGTACAATTAAAAGAAACATAAATAAATTACATATTGTCATCCCTTATGTAATTAGATTGCCAGCATCCTTACTCCACAATATCATATACGTCTTTGGTAACTGAAAATAGCAAAGCATGTGCAGTCGTACTTGAGTTAATCAAGTGCTGGAAACATAGCATTTCTAGACCATTGAACAAAACATTTATGACAATAATTTAATTATATAGATATAAAATATAATTTTCCTCCTCTCTCATATTTTTTCATTAGCATATTCCGTAATATTAAAGAAGTTCACTTCCAGGATGAAAATTCTGTCATCATTTACCTCCACTTGTTCCAAACCTGTATGAGTTTCTTTCTTCTGTTGAACACAAAAGAAGATATTTTGAAAAATGTTGATATCCGAACAGTTGATGGCACCGTTGACTTCCATTTTTTTTCCCTACTTTGGAAGTTTCTTTCTTTCTCCCTCAAACAGCTTTGTCGGTATACAATGTGCCTCCTCCGTTCATTCCAGTAGCCCCTCACTGCAGAACAAAGATCCAGGGGGCGTGGTTGGATCCACATCTAGGGGGGTGGAGATTGGTAGGTTTAGGGGTGGAGATGGGTGAGTTTAGGGATCAGGGGGTGGAGACGGGTAGGTTTAGGTGTATGTAAGGTGGGAGGAGTTGGATCTGGATCCAACCACGCCCCCTGGATCTTGTGTTCTGCAGTGAGGACCATCTCGTTCATTTGGGCTACAGCCCACCGCACAAGCTCCCGGTCATGCTAATAAGAACGATTGGAGCCCCCTAGCGCTAGCGGCATAGTTCTGCTTCTCTGACAACTGAACGGATGTGCCTTCAACATTGTGATATTATTATTAACAATAATAATAACTATAAAAATAATATGTAGGCCTATGCAACTAATATTGTTGTAACGCTCTTTGATTCTGTAAATATATGAGATGAACACTGCTGCGTTAAGCAAATATTACAAAATATTACATTTGGGTATGTGAAGACAGCTTTGGGAAACAGACATGATATGGCATATTTATGTTAAAAATTAAGTAAATTGAGTAAAGTAGATTAGATAAAACATTTTCTCAGAAAATATGCAACACATTCTCTATTACTGGTTGTAGGCCTATCACAACTCATTGACTGGTAGGCTATATTTCAAACCAGTGTTAGGTAAATATTTTGATTTAGATTTTGATATATTTTATATTGCGTGCATAAAAAGTACAAAATATTTTTTAAAAGCCTGGGAAAATTGTGTCTATGTTTTCATACACTATATCTGTCAGTGTTACACAACAATAAACACGTGCAGCCCTGCAGCCGCAGTGTAATCATATATGTGACCCTGGAGCACAAAACCAGTCTTAAGTCGCTGGGGTATATTTGTAGCAATAGCCAAAAATACATTGTATGGGTCAAAATTATTGATTTTTCTTTTAATGCCAAAAATCATTAGGATATTAAGTAAAGATCATGTTCCATGAAGATATTTTGTAAATTTCCTACTGTAAATATATTAAACTTAATTTTTGATTAGTAATATGCATTGCTAAGAACTTCATTTGGACAACTTCAAAGGCGATTTTCTCAGTATTTTGATTTATTTGCACCCTCAGATTCCAGATTTTAAAATAGTTGAATCTCAGTCAAATATTGTCCTATCCTAACAAACTATACATCAATGGAAAGCCTATTTATTCAGCTTTCAGATGATATATAAATCTCAATTTGGAAAAATTTACCCTTATGACTGGTTTTGTGGTCCAGGGTCACAAATAGCCTTATCAACAACATTTGCCAATGTAATGAGGGTGTACCACTATACAGTACTCCATAATAACAACCTAATTCATGACTGTCATTCCAATTTATGATCATTTACACTTACAAGATGTAGAGGCAAATAAATAAATGAATAAAACCATTATAGGCTAATAAAGTGAAACAAAAACAGTTTCAAGGCAGGGATGATGGAAGTATTAGAATGTGTTATTTTAACAGAAGCAACCAAAACATTTTAATTTTATCATGCACATTTTAGTAGACACAATGAACAAAGTAAGTTTTGAAAAAATTGAATTGTATTGTAAGTTCCGGACCATTTCAAATAATCACAGGAAACAATACAATTGGGTTGCCATACATAGAAATGTAGATAAAATGATACATTTAAAATTTAGGATCAGTCATTAACATTAAAAATCTGTAGACTAAGGCAATACTGGGGGTTTTACCAGAACTGAAGGTTTTCCTCACTTGGCATGTGTCTGGCTCTTGCACCGTCTGCTGGTTGGGAGATGCTAATACATCAATACTGGCAGCTCCACAGAATAAATTAGGGTCACATTTTTTATCACATCATATTTACTTCCTTTAAATATTATGGTTAGAGAGTCGGACTTGTAACCCGAAGGTTTAGGGTTCGAGTCTCTGGTCCGGCAGGAATTGTCGGTGGGGGGGAGTGAATAACCAGCGCTCTCTTCCACCCTCAATACCACGACTGAGGTGAGACCCTTGAGCAAGACACCGAACCCCCAACTGCTCCCCGGGCGCCGCAGCAATATGGCTGCCCACTGCTCCGGGTGTGTGTTCACTACTGTGTGTGCGCACTTGGATGGGTTAAATGTAGAGCGCAAATTCCGAGTATGGGTCACCATACTTGGCCACACTTCACTGTACTTTATTTATTTAGTCATTTAGCAGACGTTTTTATCCAAAGCGACTTACAAATGAGGACAACAGAAGCAATCAATTGTAATATTAAAACAACTAAAAACAGATCCAAAACTAAAAGTTAAAACTTTATAAATACTACTTTTTAAAAAAAATTAAAAATAAAGAAATTAAATAAAAATGACAAATGCATACAACAAAATTTCAAAACTTAACATTTAAATGAAAAAAAAAAAAAAAGCTAAAAACAATTAGGAAACAATAGGAAAGAGGAGAAATAAAAAGCGATACTTATTATTATTATAAAAATTATAATTTGACAGCACTAATTCTATTTATCAGTCCCGTCTCTCAAAAAAAAAATCAAAGACTTTACTAGTTGTTTCAACTGACCATTTTATTAAAATGTAAAGTTGTGTGAAAAAATCCCAGGTCGCGGGTTGCGGGTTTTTGGGCTTATTTTAAAAAATATGGTTCCTTGTTAGGGAAATCTGACAAGCAACTTTGTTTCTTTATTTATGTTCGCCGTATTCTCCAATGCATTGAATGACACTCTGTCTGCTAATAAATAATTGATAATAAATAATATTGATGATAATAAATCATTAAAAACAATTGGGCTTGTTTTTGAAGTAGCGGTTGCTTCTTTGTCTTGCGAGAGTTGGCAACAGTGGTCGATGGTCTTTACACTCTTCGGTCTGCACACGAGGAGGCCGTCACGTGGTAAACTAAGCTTTTTTATACCCGTCTAACAAAATACTAAATTAATTCAGCTGGACACACTTTCCTTATTTTTTCCACAACAAATGGCCAAGCAAGCGCAGACACTGACAAGATACGCGATACAGAACGAGACCAAACGGGATTTCGTTGTTTCGTTTTCGCAAACATTTCATTGCAATATTTAGGTATCGATGCTATTAAAAACAATTTACATTTACAAAGTATGTATGAGCACAAGTATGTATAGCGGTATATATAACAGATATGTAGCAAAGTGAAAATAATCCTCTGTGAAATTCACTTTAATCATGGGGGATTAGCTATTTGAAAAATACTACATTTGGAATTGAAAATACCCCCTCAGATTCCCCAAGATTATTATTTTGTGTTAGGTAGTTATACAGCTTGCCCTGCCCAAAATTAATTTTATGCTCTCATTCACCGCACTACATAACTACTCCAAAAAGATGTTCACCAGTATCAGAAGGCTTAGAATTGTGATTGCACTGATGTGCTGTGATTTTGCATGTATGCTTTTATTTATAACCTGATGTGAACCAAATATCTTGTTTTAATTTGAGTAGAAAGAGATTCAATTATTCTTCAGACAGCCTGGGTGTCTGACAGGGAAACCATGACACTGGAAGCTATGAAAAAGCAAAATACAAGGTAGCTGCATGCAAAAGACTTCACATTTATATAGAATTCCTATAAACAAAATATTTTTTTGCTTGCTTTTTTGCCTTTTTTTAAAAGGCAAAAAATGGTGTGCTGCACTTGTAGTCAAGTTTTACAACAGGCTTATATTTACAGAAGCTATCCCAAGCATAGTCAGCCCAATCACATCTCACTTTCCTTTCTTTCAGGTCAATGTACAGCTCAGTATTAAATATTATATTGGTTTGAAATGATCACTGGGCAAAACCAGGTTAAACTAGACTTTAATAGATGGCACCTTGTCTCCATGTCAATCAAAGTCCAATCACCACATGGTCCTGATTAACAGAAAGGTGTTTTTATTTAAAAATTAAAGCTTATACCAATA